TAACTCTTAATTGATTTTAACAACCACCTTATTTTCGTACAGAACACAAAGAAAAATTACACACACTGCCGTTGTGACAACTTTTGTTAATATTTTTCTACTTCAAATTTTGCCTCTTGGTATTTTAAGACTATTTTTCTTTAAAATATTTTCTTCAAACTTCAATTTTAATCCATTTTAATCTAATTTAAATCAATCGAATTATTTGTATTAAGTGAGGTAGTTTGTAGTTGCTCCGATAGATTTAATATAATATCTATGAAAAAGCTTTCCAAATATGACTTAAACAACTTAAAATAATAAAAATTACCACTATGGGTTATCATTTGTACTATTGCGGACTTTTTGAATATCTTAATAGAATATACAGTTGCACAACTCATCATGTTTATCTCCTAAAGTTGAGTTGGCGTTTGAGATTAAATCACCAAAAATGATATATTTTTGCAAAACGTTTATGTATTTATGTAATTTAAAATGTATATATTACACATACTTGTGCATATCTATATACTGAACGTTTATAAATGATATCGAAAATCGCGAAATCAAAATCCGTCGTTTAATTTAGTAAAAATAAGTGAACAGCAATCTACTGGCTAGGTGAAGATTTCTGTAAAATTTCTAACATATCCTATAGGACACTTGAATAAAGCAAAATTAAAAAAAAAGCTTTAAATCTTAATATTTCGCTTATGTTTGCGATACATGAATCTATTATTCGTTTCAATACCCCTAAAACTTTTCAAAATAACAATATCCAATACTATACATATAAGATACCTTAAACTATTCTCTGCTTTTACCACTTCGTCGTCATAAAAAATATATAAATATCTTGTCAATATGTTTAACTGACAAATTTGGCAAATTTTGGCTTCTTAGTACAAAAACATGCTCAGCGAGGCCATAGGCATAGACAAACGAAAGTACGGATGAACGTCATGTGTTTCATTTTTTTTTTTTGTTAATTATTGTTTTACGACCAAAATAAACATAACATTCATGTTTGCTGTCGCAAACGTGTCAAATTGAAGCAATAAACTAATTACAAAGCTCATAAAAATCCTGAAATAATTTTAATGGTTATGCAGAATTCCCACTTGACTATTTGAGCAATGACTAGCTATGAAGTGAGTTTTACGACCCATTAATCTTAATTGGCGGCGCCCGAGGTCAATATACAGTCCGACTGATGTGTACTTATACAAATAATAGGTGTTTGATTGTCCAATCAAATCAGTTGCTTTTTATTTACGGTACATTCTATAGAAATTTGTCGGACTTTGGCTTTTTAATTTATCTAGTTCAAATCATTTTCTTATGAGTTTCATGAAGACTATGAAAAAATTTATTTGAATCAGACACTACTCAATGAGAGCTACAGTCTGTTGTTACGGTGATATTACTTACTATATTCAGCCAATTTAGCAAAACTGGGGGTGACCTCATGAATATTTAACGCTTCAAAATTGTTCTGGAACGATTGGGATGCATCACGCATAACAATAGTGTTTTTGATTTGACTAGCTTTTGTTCTCGGTTAAAACTTTTAAGTTTCTGCGACTTCCGAACTATCACGAATACTGACAATATTTTGCCATTGGATAAATAAACAAAAACTGATTGACTGATAAAAAATAAAATTCAATGAAAAAGAATACAGACAAATAAATAAATTTAAATTGTCCTTTTATTTTAAAATACAATATTTCGTTACTAAAAGTTGCGAGCGAGTTTTGCCACTAATTAAGAATTCTGAATGTGTCATAGGAGGATAATACATCTACACTATTTATAAATTATACCAGGCAACCCCCGTACATTCTTTATATTTAACTAATTATAAATCATAACTCTCTGTAAGTCAAACAGCATATATAAATGCGTAATGTAAGCGGAGTTTAATTTACAAAACAAGTGCCAAAATAAAAAAATCTATGGACGATTCCTCTGCGATCTTAAAGATATTGAAATCGCCCATAAATATTCAAAGCATATTCATTATCGATAAATCCACAAATTTTTGTTTCAGTTAAAACTGGCAAGATGATTAAATTTTATTGAAGTGAGTACTTTAGTGAATGAAAGATTTACTATAACATATTAACAAATATCACATAAGTATTCGTTTTACATCATTATCTGTTACACACCTTAGTCTATTTTTTTTCTAGCCATGTCTTAGATCACACAGTTACATTCTGCTCTTATTCATCATTTAAATAATTATGTTTTATTGATAGACTTTGGATCCAATAATTTTAAGAAGCTTTTATCGCCTAAAGTTAGTGGACATGCATTTATATGACGTATAATTTAAGTGTCACTTATCTATTTTTAGACGATTGCAGCAGACTCAAATAATCACAAATACGCAAATCTCTAACTAAAATCAATTTAATCGTACGACTACAGAATACGAAACGCCACTTGGCAGATTTAAACTAAGCACTTCGTATCTCCCGAACCATGTGTTAGACAAATTATTCTATTACCTAAAGCACTTTACACTCATTGAAGGTACTACCTACTTGCGCATAGCATTATCAGCCTATTGGAAATATTTAGCCCATAACCTACATTCAAAGTATTTACACAACAATAATCTCATAAATACTTTGCGATTATGCTATGTTTAACATTTACTCATGTACAACAAGTATTTACAAGTATTATAGTAACATTTTTTTTTTAAACCTGTGATCTACTTTGTGAAGTGACTATGTCGTTTTTTCGGTATATTGGTCAAAACCTTAAATACCAGCTGAAATACAATACTAGAATAGGGATTAGATCTTGAAGTAACTCTAATTCGAGCAGTAACACTCTGTTCTGTATGTACGACCATTTAATGGACGGTCGAAAGGTCCTAAAATGCATATCAAATGAACTCATATTCGTTCATTTTAGTTCTGTTTTATTTACAAAACAACACAAATTAAGGAAACGTTATTATATTATCTTTTAATATATAAAAACTGATATTAATGACCACAATAAAATATATGTATGTAGTTATACACTTAAATAAAGGAAACTGCTTATAAATAGAGACTTTCGTTTTTCTTTGTAACAATAACATATGAATTCGTGCTACCTTAATTTCAAACCTAAATCTAAGTGTGACAAGATTCAGTTTTCTCTAATTTACTATATCAGTTTACTGACCGTCACAATATTACGGTAATAGCACGTTGGGAAGGAAACAGTCAATTAAATCATTGTGCGTAATGGGAAATGAGACGGAAAGTCCATACACGTCCCTAGTATTGGACGAGAGCCAGGTCGAGTAGTACTCCATCTATTTATACAACGAATGAAGTAATCGTTGGCCGTGCTGTAAATGTTTTATTTCTCATTTTTTTTCATAATTTAAAGATACTTTTGAATACAATAGTTTACTTTAAACCGTCTGCAAATAAGGAGGTTGCTCTCAATTTGGTTGCACTTTTTTCTTGAGCTCGTTTACTTCCGGTCAGTCTCGTTCCTCACCTCTAAGAATGGAAAAATTAAAGAATTGAGAATATAGTTTATTAGAATTAATCAGGACGTTGGCGCACTAAATTCTTTGTTCAAACTTCTTTGGTTTCTTTAACGAGCGGGGTACAATGTGCTAGTAAATATAGAAGAGGAGATGCTACTTTATGGCATGTCAAGATTAAGATTGAGGCAGACAGCCGCTCGGGGGCGGCTGTCTGCCTCAATCTTAATCTTTCCAATATCTATTGCTTTTATCTTAAACAGCTTTATTAAAAATAAATATTTTTGTTGCAAAACTGTGTACAATATTATCAGATAATAATGTTAGATTAAAAAAAACAACAATGCACTTATACTACATAAATTTCTGCGTACCAAAAAACTCGTTCAGTATAAAAACGTTATCAATTCATCATCACCTGCCCAACCTTGTTAAAATTTTATTTGTAGTCGGTGTAATATCTTTCATTCCTTTTTTATTCTGCCTGTAAGCAATGTTTCCTACACTATTTCAAAACTTACTTTGGTCTTCTTTTGAATCCCTAAACTTCTGTGCGTATAACTCACTCCCGTGGTCGTCAACTTTTGTATCAGTTCAATTATTAATCAATTTCTAACCTTGTCATCCTGATCACACCACAAAAAAACTTTGTAAATTTTAAAACCTTTAAAACAATGGTGACTAACACAGTAAAAAATCTGGCATATTACTGTTTCAAAAGTATTTAAAACATCTGTAATGAATAATGAGTTGTCTATCCTATATACAAGAAAATTTTAAATAGTTTATAATTAAAATTTGAATTGAATTTAAAAGTTTACAAAATTTCTTCAGTGTTCGTTAATGTATTGTTAAAAAGAAATAAAAGAAAAAAAAAACTCGTACGCCTCTCATTAATTGCCGCTTGTAATCGCTTACTTTACATAATTTATTAAACTGTAGATCGACTGGCGGTCGCTGTACCACCGTTTCAAATATATCGTTTTTTTTTCATTGACCTGTATAACTAGAGCTATCAATGTGTAGGCTCTGTCTCCATGGCAGGTCGAAATAGCATGTAGTCATTCGTGTAGCCCTTTTAAAGTATCTTAAAACTCTTTTAAATATCTCGTTTAAATATTTTAACGTGGTGCTCTTTTTTTACTTATAAAAACTAATATAAAATACAAGGAATTTTCTTTACATAATACTCGTGTATAGAATTTATTAAATATATATTGGATTTTGGTACAAAATAAATGTGTTGCATCCAATATAAATTCTAGTGCAGCGATGAACCATGAACTTATCATGAAATTCGCGATTGACTCACCATCATAACAATTCCTTGTCAGATCTTACTGATACCGATTAGCTTTGCTTGATTTAGTCAGACCTTTATCAGCGAGGCCCGTATAAATAATACTACTAACCAAACTGCCTACATAAATATTGTAGACGCGTGCGCAGCCGCATTCATTGCCACGGTCGCCTACTGTGCCAGTCTTTAGCAAACCGCCGTAGGGAACACACGCACATGGTATTATTAAAAATATAATACATAAATAGTGTTAATATTATTGACAGTCTGAGGTACAAAACTTGTGATATAGTGTCGCAATATATAACCTGTTTGATTTTTGTCTGCTGCTCTTGGAGATAATTCAAGGTGTGTAATATGGTGGCCTTATAAGCTTGTGCAAAAATATATGAAAGTGTGAATATTTGAGTGTAAAAACGCTTTTAAATATGTTAAAAGAACGATTACTTTCTCTTAATTCTTGAATAGTATTCTAGCGAACGAATGTGCCCAATTTAAATAAATATTAAGTATCTGTTACCATCAAATGTAGTAAGAAATGTTTGTTTGAGTAAGTTATTGAAAATATTATCTAGTAATTATATTAATTATTAGCTAATTATTTTATGAGTGTTAGCTCTTAGTTAAAAAGTTAGCCATCTACTAATTATAGTTAATGGTATTTATTATTAATTTACGATTAGTACACGTTTTCCGTGTCAGACTTAAAAAATCGTTTCGAAGACACTATACAAGTTATAAACCGGATTATTGAGAAGTAACTCCCTGTATAAATTAAATCACGCAGAATTGTGTCAAGTCAAACTTAAAATTCAATACTGATCTGAGGTTAACAATGTCAAACACATATTAAATAGCTGTAGTCTCATCTTAGACTATGTTTCTACCTTTAAAAATATATAGGCAATAATCATGTGAGAACTAAAATTACTTATTTAATATACACATTTGTGAAAATTTGTATCACCAATCCACTGGACAATGTTGACCTCAATCATGTTTAATAATTGAGGTTCAAAGAACTGCGCAAACCATTACGCCCATATTTCCGCGTTCAGTTGAAGGTAACTGTACCGTTTTGCTTACAGATGAATACACTCGCATTACTAGTTGGTGTACTACTGTGCCTAACTGTAGCTAGCGGTAGGAGCTTCGAAGAAAAACTGGACTCCGATTCATTAACATTATCAGATTTAGAACCTCAAGTGCCGAAAAGACACGGACAAGAAATACGACACCGTAAAAGACGGTGGCAAACGAGCTACGGATACGACTACCCAGCCCCAGGTCCTGCTTATTATCCAGAACGGAGGGACTATGATCGTCAAGACTTATTGCCGAAAATCGTAAAGTTACTTGAAGAGATTTCATATAATTTGAGACGGCCACAACCTCCACCACCTCCACAGCCGCCCATCTACATTCCATACCCGGTACCTTACTACGTTCCTCAATATCTTCCATGTGCACCCACCAGTGGAAAAAAGCCGAATGTCACAAGCAGATTTCCAGATATGGAAGATACGAATCAAAATTGGGGATTCGTCATGAACCAAAAAGACAATGTTCTACCGCCTGGCAATGGCGCGAGACCAATCTCTTTTGATCCGATTCGACCACCACAAGCGATGCTGCGACCGACACCAGACGTGGAACATGGCAGCGAACAAACAGACGTAAGTTTAAATTATACAATAAAGTTAAAGGGTATTAATGATGATTGATGTAATTCAATGTGCATGAATATTACCTTGTCGAGACCTCAAAGCGTTTAAGTAATATCTAAACTAACTAAATACATTTTAATAACATAAATATTTTTATTTTAAACTCTTAGACTTCCTTCTAACAATTTTACGGCCTGTTGGTCTGGTGGTTAGTGATCCTGACTGATGCCTGAGGTCGTGGGTTCGATTCTCATCCAGGACAAATAATTGTGCATTGGGCATGATCATTATTTTTGTTCTGTGTCTGGATTTTGTGTGTTTTCAATACATACATATTTTAAATATATTTAAAATATATTTATCAGCAGTCTGGTTACCTTAGTATAGGCACTGCCTAGTTTGGGATCAGACTGGCGTGTATGAGACGTGTGACGTTAGGTACGTTTATTAGGTTGAATTCATGTCCAGTCAAAGATTTTTCACTCGAAACTCTTCCCGTCCAGTTTATTTTAGTTTCAACAAAAAACGTTCTAGTAGATTCACTCTAGGTATTTTCACATTACTAGTTTCCACTTTCTGAATTCGTGGAAAAACATTGGAATGTTGGAGATTGAAACGCTATGCAGAGATCAAAAGCTACATAAACAATCAAAAGTATATTTTTTGTTTTTCAGAACCAACATACGACTCAGGCGCCCAGGTTCGAGCATAATTCTGATTCCAGCGGAATGTTAGGACGGGCTCCAGACATGTGTAATGCCGCTATACTTTCATGCTGTACAGGTGACCAACAATCACAGAGGGAGTGTTTCAGAAACTTCTCATGTGGGATCATTTACGGAACTGACAAAATTTGTAGCCCTGAATCCATTAACGAAGCATTAGAAGCATTCAAGGCAGCATACTCTCCGGTATCGTGAATACCCGGTTAAAATGCTATAGTCACCATCAGTATTCAAACCGCGTAAACGGTTATCTATTTTGTTGTGATTGTAAAAGTTTACAATTTATTTAAATTAACATGCAAAGTTTTACATTTTAACTATCGTACTTTTTTGATTATCCTGTCTAAACAATTTTATTAACTACCTAAACATAATACTTCAGGTAAGCGTACTGAGTTCATTATGTTATTGGATTATCAACTGGTAAAACGTTTATCAAGTGCTTGTGTACTTTCAGTTGAAAACAGAACACGTTTGTTTAAATTTGATGTTATAACGTAAATTTTGTTCAAAAGGAATTTTGTTCACGAATATTTAATGAATTGTGAATTGTTCTTTGAACTAAGTAAAGGTACAAATTGTCTATTTATTATTGAAATTGATCGGTAAAATATAGTCTACTGCATGTCGATCTGTTAACTACTATTATCTTATAGTTCTAATCAAATTACAACAATATTATAGATGTTGTGTTGCTTATTATTAGTCTTAAACTTAATAAAAATATAGGTACATAGTATAAACTAACTTTTCGATGCCATATTTTTTCGTTCCTTAAGATTTCTAGTTATTTAGTTACATAATATTCATACTGTTGAACATTTGTGCTTGTCATTATGAACACAGTTTTAGATTTCATAAATAAAATTTTTGGTCAGGTATGAATACTAAATAAAAGTACGGAAAGAAAATAATTTTAAATTTTATCTATGTTTTGTTATTGACAGATGATTGAACACGACACAATCTTTTATTTAAATTGTCGAACAAAACATGCGATGTGAGTAAAGTTGATTGCTACTGGCAGCTGAAAAACCGAATAAGTGTTACCTAGTCTGTATATTAGATGTAGTATGTATTTACGAGTATTTTTAAGTTATGTGTAATAAAAACTGTAACACAAAAACAAGTTTTTTTTACTAAAGCCTGACATGGCACATCTCTGATCAAAGCAAAAAAACTGTTCAAGTACATTTGTTATTACAAATGTTATCTTTTTTGTGTGCTGTACAATTCAACTCTTAATGGTTTTTGTATGCAATTATTTTCAGCTCGCATCTTTTATTATAATGTCAATTGATTTTATATTTTAAAACATTTCTTTATATTATGCATAGAAAACTTACAGCTACAAACATCAGTAAAAATTAATCATGTGAGATTATAACCTTTTTATTTATTATTTATACTCATGATTTAGAATTCATTTATTCCTTTAAATGTAGCAATCTAAAGTATCACGAGCCCGCTTTAAATAAAACAACAAAAACAACATTGTTAACTCTCTAATTTTCTTGATAGAACATAGCATTGTCACCACAATTGTTGTAATGAGTCGTGGTACAAACACCACGACTATAACTATTAGAGTACCAGTAACTATTCAAAAGTGACTGTGGGGATACAATAGTTTTAAGATAAAACTCAAGTAACTGGTTCCTAAAACCTTAGAAGCTCTTTAAAATAAAAGTTATGATACGTACAATATAACACTGTATCTTTATGTATGTAGCTACAAATACTGTTCTACTCTGTAGGGTTGAACTTGAGACCTTCGTCTTCCATAAGCGCAGCCCTGGGGGTGAAAGGTGAGGCCATCTATCACCCTAGCAGAAGCAGGTTGGGGTGGCGGCGAGACGCGCTGCCGAGTGCGCGTGCCTTTCGGGAGCACAACGGGTACATGGGGGTTCCCACAGAGGAGAGGGTCATCTACCCGACGTAGATAGCCCGAGGTACGTCGGGGTACCAGGGATTTCCTTTCTAGGGTACACCGGGTTCCCCGGCTACTGGTATCCAAGACGGCGTGCGGTTCTTAGTCGGTTCGAGTCCGACATAGCCACCCGTGGGTGGTATCCGAGAGGATTTCCGCACAGAAAAAACATCGAACTTTGAGACATTTTCAACAGCCCCTAACAGTCCACTGCTAGACATAGGCCTCTCCCTACGATGGAGGTTAGAGACATGCTAAATAATTATTTTATTTTACCTGAAACGATAAGGAAGCATTGGTACCACTATAGCGCCAAACCACAGCGTAAGGTCGTTGGCTGTATGCAAGTTGTACGAACACTCGACAGTTGTAAAAGGCGATTAGCTGTACACTTTAAACATCATTCGTCGTAACAATTTTTTATCAAGCGACCGAGGGTTTGTTGGATATTGACCGGAAGAAAGTAAGTACTTAAATAGTATTTAGGTATTTTTCTTAAAGTTAGTTATTACAATAAAGCTGTTAAAAACATGTTTAGGTACACGGATAATGTCAAGGAAATATAATCTTTAAAGTTGATAGAAAACATACTTATCAAAATACGCTCGATGTGTCTTAAAATTTGATTTGATACTAATTCTTTATATTAACTTAATACATCTCACATACATCATCAGACACAGAACAAATGTGTTGTGCTCATCACACAATTATTTGCCCTGGGTGGGTAATCGAAATCACAACTAGTAATTCACTAACAACTAGAGCGCACGCCAGTCAGAAACTGTTTATAGATTTAGAAGGACTATCATTCTAGAACTAGTTCACCAAAAGTATACACATATACAAGTTATAAAAATTATTACTAAAAATCTTTTAACATAATATTACTCAGATATCTTCCTTCCCATTAGGTTCGGTGCCAACTATAGCGGCAGTCATCATCATAGCATCGTCGCAAACGCACATAACATATACTACCTGCATTAAAATTACGTTGAGGAACAACATTACATTATATAGGTAATAATATATAACCTGTTACTTTCAAGGTTTCGTAAATAAGAACTTGTTCTAATATTTTATTCTAAGTGTGACATTTCAATATGTTTGAGCTAACAGTTGAAAGAATACATTGATTTGGTAGCTTACAGTTAAAATAGTATTGTGTCTATTATAATAGTAAAATACATTATTTGTACTTTTCATTACTATTGTTCTATGTTTATGGATGTATACGGATGTTTTACTAGTCGGAGTGCTGATATGTCTAACTATAGTTAATGCTGTGTGCTTCGATGAAGAATGTCCATCGAACCTACTCGAAATTGGATTTGTCTTTTTCAAAAGAAAAATACAAATCCAATTTCGAGTAGGTTAAGAGCTTTCAAATTAAGTAAACTAGCTCCTGTATTTACTTAATTTACTGTAAGGATGGCGCCTAAACTTGCTTATAAACATTAACAGATTTCCAAAAACTACATTTGGAGTTAGAGGAACCAAGAGCTGTTTGTTTGAATCCCATTGAACCAAAGCGTCCTTTGATGAGCCCAGCACCTAATATAAACCTTAATAGCGGACAGAATCTCGTAAGTGTACGTACGAATTTATTAAAGTTCATAATGAATAAAAAATACTTAGAAATATTTTACAAGCCGCATATTAAAGTGAACAACACAGTAGGAAATCGTATTTACAAAAGATGGCTTCACCTGACTTTGTTTCTTAACAAGATAGATATAAATAGATTTGCTTGGGAATAACAAATTTAGAGACTGCATCACTTATATACAGAGGCAAATAAACTGAACACCTATTAATATCGCTGAAAAGATGTAACTTTAGCATGCATGTATAAAAAAAAAATTTCATTTAAAGTGTTTCAACTTTTAGATATTATTCTCAGATCCAATTCACATAAAAGCAGATGGGACGTGTTACTTAATTTTTTTCATTTTAAAGATTATTAGAATAATTAAATTGATACGCCGATAAGTACAAACATCAAATAAAATATTTTAAAATTAATGTGATTCAGGGGCTCGTGGCTTAGTGATAACTGAGTCGTCGGAACATCTGTGCCAACCGTTATGGGGATCCCTAAAGAGACCGAAACAAATCAAAACAGTCTTTCTACAGAACTTCGATATCACCTTGTATTTGGATTGTGGAGGTGTGATGGCAGTCCGCGCTCCGCGTAAAAAATCGAAGTTCTGCTGGGTCGTAGTAGATTAAAAAGCCGAACCCAACCTAGATTGGGAAAAAGGCTCGGAGGGAGAAGAAATTAATGTTCGTATTTATGTATGTATGAACATGTTGCACTTTTCATGTTCTTATTTTATGTTCCATTTTATTTTTGATACTCTTATTATCTATAAATAATTATTTTTCTATAAAAAATCAAAGAAAATCAACTCGCACAGATATGGCTACCTATAAAGCACTTTCACATTTTTTTACCATCTTTTATTGCTTTAAACAATATAAAAAAATATAATTTTTAGGGTCAGCCTGAAGACGTTCATGTTTTGCATACAACAACGTGTGCTGCTGTAATATTGTCCTGTTGTGGGGAAAATAAAAAGTAGATATTCAGTGCAAGTGTATCGATTCATTCGAGTGCAAGGCCTTTTACAACAATAGGAATGTTTGCAGCACTGAATAGATTCAGTTTGAAATTTAGCTTTGGGATTATTTTAAATCGCTTATTTACAACAGTCTTCATGCCGTTTATTATGATAGAATTAAGAGTTGTTCAAAGATTTTAGGCTCAAAGTATTTAGGTCAATTTTGTTAACCTGTACTAAAAACCCAAAAAAAACACCAAAAATGTGGCGAATGTGGTGTGAAATACACGTGCAAGCCACGGGATGTCGCTTGACTGTAGGTGTTTTTTTTTAAGTTTTTCTCTGACTAAGACTCCAGCTACCTTGCCCCCTGAAATATTACCTGTATACCACAGCTGAGTAATATGTTCAAAAGGCGGTTAACTCTACCGGAGTCCATACCAGTGCCCAGACCTGCGGCAGTAAGACTCCGTCAAAAAAAAACCCCGGCCAAGTGCGAGTCGGACTCACTCACGCTCATTATCTTTAAAAATGGCAAAAAAATCATGTCTATTGTCAAGGATGTTATGTGAAATAAATAAAATGATTAACTTTTAGGAGCCCCACTTAAATATTTATTTTATAGTATTTTTTGTTATGGCGGCAACACAAATATATCATCTGTGAAAATTTCAACTGTCTAACTATCACGGTTCATG